GTCCCAGAAATCTGTTTTGAATCACAAGAAACACGGTTTATGGGATCTCAGAAACAATAGATACATCCCAAAAATATTTTTCGAATCGTCAAAACAATTTATATGATTTCAAAAATCATTTTATAAACCATTTTATTTGTTTTGTTATATGTTGATTACTTAATTCTCAAATATTTCTTGCTATAAATTTTTGTCATTAAATACTTTTACATCTTTGGTTTACAGATGTGTGAAAAAGTTCGAATTGTGCATAGCAGATTTTGGGATGAGAATGTTTATAAAAATGGACAGGCAGAGATGAACTTTATGCGTTTGGGGAGTTAGTTCTAACTACTCTATATGTGGGTATATTACAGAGGTCTTGCAGAGCCTTCGGGACTGCACAACGGAGCTCATCGGGCTGTCTTAAACATTCGCAACCTAGGTACATGGGAAACCAGTACTAAGTAAATCATGGATCTAATTTGGATGAATACACGGGAAGCCCAGAGACCTCATCTGGCATTGTGCGGCTTCCTTAATTGCACTAGCGCACTCAGGCGAGCAGCAAGCCGTTGGTTGAACCCCATGGCTGAGCACAGGCCCAAGGACCATTTTCGTTACGCACTAACTGTCAGTTTCGGCTATAACTTGACGGAAGCCCAGATATCCCATGCTAGCTGTATGAAGACTTTTTAAATAGGATGTTGCTTTTATTATTGTGTGTTTTAGTTAGTGACCGGTAACTTGGCCTCTTAGTATGTTTTGTTTTTATTTGTGTGTTTTAGGTGGGGTGATGTAGTGAAGACTTCTATGTAAGAACCTCGTATTTCGTTTTGCTACTGATTTGGTGATTCTTTTAATTTGCTATGGTGATGTCTGAATGGTATTGTTGGTTGGTTTGCTGAAAGTAAAACAAAGTGTGAATCGTAAGTTCTCTGTTTTCATTTACTCAATGAATATGATGGCTTGAATTTAACATGAGGAGGCAATAAGAAAACAGAACCAAAACAAAACAAATGGCACAGGCACACACTATTGTTCCATTTTCAGTTTTTCTAAAAAAAAATAAAAAAAAAAAAGTTTAAGAAATCGCGAGTCGCGGTGAAGAACAGAACGCTCAGGCTACAAGCTTCCCAGAGTCGCGGAGAAGAACAGAGTTATAATAGCACAAACCAAACATTAAACAAAACAAACGGAAAATTGTACCACAAAAAGACCACAATTGTCAAAGTAGAACCACTGCAAGCAAAGTGTCCAATAGACCACAATTGTCGAAGTACCAAATATACTACAATTGGCAATAGCAATACAAAACAAAAGCCCCAAAAAATGACACTACTTCGATACGGAAAAATTATGAGCAAAAATTGATGAGGAGGCCGAGAAGTAGAGGGCCTCGACCGAGCCGAAGAAGAATATGAAGGCGAGGGCAAAAAGGACATTTCGGTTCCAGCACAAGACGATGACGAAGGACATGAGGAACGTCGTGACGAGCATGACGGCTATAACGGCAAGACCCGTGTGTACCAATAAAATAGGATATATTGAGCTCTGGTTTACCTGATGCATTGCTAATGTGCTTCGTGTCCCTAAATCCAAAAACAGAGGATCATCAAAGTTCAGTTGATTTCAGGAAGGTAAGTTTGCCCGCACATTTCAGACGAAGTGTGTATTATCTTGACCCGAGAAAAGCAGCCCAGTGTGCAACATTGCTTAATTATGGAAAAAGTCCCGGGTATAACGGCTTGGCTTCCCACAACAGCGACGAGTATAGCAATTGCAAGAACTGGCCATCTTAGCATTTCTGCATTATAAATAGAAAGAAATTGGACTTCTCTATAATGGAAAAAAAAAAAAAAAAATCTTTGTTTATGTTATGTTGAACTTGAATGAATCTATAGAATTTTACTATACCTGGTACTGATACATATAATCCAATATGATAATCACTCTCCATTATGTGGTGTTTGGATAGATAAGCAGCTTGTCCCATGTAAGCAAGGATTAAGGATGTATACACTACAAAGCTAAAGGCTATCTGCATTGTAGAGCACAAAACACATAAAATACCTCCGAGTGACATCCAGCCTCGTTTTTTAGTCTTTTTCAAGAACTTGTACATGTAATAAGGATTAAGGAGAAAGTGCCTTATAAATGAGTGGATTCCAGTGGAAAATATTGTATATGCCAATAGCACTTATGCAGAAAAGCCAGGTTATCACAGTCGGAGCGAAAATAACTCCGAGCCTGTGGGTCCCGTAATGTTGAAGGTAACAAGAACAGCAGGATTACACAAGCCACTGGAACTTCTATATCTACATGACATCTAAATATAAATAATTCGCTTAAATATAAATATCCTAACTATAACGAATTATTTAACCATAAAAACAAATCATGAACCTCTTCTGATATACCTTGCTTCATTGTTTCAACTCGTCTTTTTTCGATAGTAATGCTTCTTGTTCACTGTTCTCATTAAGTATATTCAAGTTCTACATGTACTAGGCTTTTCAGAAAATCACTTTTTTAATTTATTTAGAAACTCATTTAATCGACTGCTTTTCTTCACTGTGTTCATAAAGCATTTACTTTATATAAGGGTACAACATTATCCACAGAAATCTTAAATTAATGGCACTGTTAATTAGTTTTTGTCAACTTGCATCTCCATGTATGATACCCTTTATACTTGCCACAATAAAGAAGATGGTGACCAAACTTTTACTTTATATGAATAATGATGATTCAACTTTGATTAAAGCAAAGAACATTATCCTACAACAAGAAAAGATCCCATAGCCACAGTAGTGCATTTTGTTTGAAAAAGAAAAAGAAAAATAAATAAATGCCGGCACATCCTAAACAAAAGCCGAAAACCATAATTACTTTCTTTAGAGTCCAATCTCATTCATAATTTCTCCTTGTTCTTTTTGTGTTGACATATCTAAATCCCATTTGTGCAAATTTCAAAAATAGATTCATGTTTATTAAATCAAACTTAGAAACCTAATCACAATATTATAGACAAAGTGAAAATCATGCAAGTGCATATGAGACTTTTACATTAGTTGAATTTGAGAATTCCTACTATGATTCCATTAAAGCAGAAGACTTTGTGGACTGAAAGAAGAATTAATAACAATCCGTTCAAACAGAAGACTTTTTCCGTACCAAAAGATAGAATAACAATAGCAAATTAAATCATGAACAAAAAAAAAAAAAAAAGATGAAACATAATTAGTAACCTAGACTCACAATGGTGATGATGCTTTGAAACAACAAGCTCCAGCCCAGATGCTGCAGAAAAAACTGCACACACACACAAGAATAACTAAAAAATAACAATAAAAACATTATGACTTAGTTATTATTAACGAATAAATGAATGTTATAAGACGCTTAATGCAAAAAGAGGTAAGTAAGTTTATTACCATAAATTGCAGGCATAAGAACTCCATCACCAATAACCATACAAATCCCAATCAAAGCCAAAGTGAGCAACATCCTCCGGAGCCACCTATTCTTTTCAAGAGTTAATCTCAGTTTCTTACCAAAACCTTTATTATTATTATTATTACCAGATGTGATATCATTTTTGTTGTACTCATATATATCCTCATCGGCAAGTTGGCCGTTCGGTAAAACGCTGACCTGGGCATGTCGACATAAAAGGGAGTACAAAACAAAAGTGCCCCCTTCACCATTATCATCAGCTCTAAGCACAATGAAGACATATTTAAGCTTAATAAGAGGCCCACTCCACAGATCCACTCCAAATTTATAACAAAAAACAAAAGATCTAAACGAAGAGAATCAGAACACCAAAAGGCAGGCACCACTAAAACAGCTAGCAAAACACCATATACAAAACTCATATACCATTTTTCAGAAGAAAAAACATAAGCACCACCAAAATGAAAAAAAAAATAAAAAAAAAATAAAAAGGGAAGGACTCAAGCAAGATAGCAAATCACAAGTCCAAAAACAAACACCACTCAAACAGCTAGCAAATCACCATATGAAGGACTTCTAAAAAAGTTAAAAAAAAACCCTAATTCAAACAAAAAAATAAAACAATTTCAAACCAAATTCCGGCGAGGTCCTGAAGGGTCATGCGAGGTCGTGAAGACGGCGTGACGGCGAGGTCGCGTCTGGTCAGAAGAGAGGGCGTGACGGCGAGGTCGCGTGACGGCGAGGTCGCGTGAGGTCAAAAGAGCCAGCGTGACGGCGAGGTCGCGTGACGACAAGGGACTCCGTTCGATTTTGATCTTGATGTGTTCGATTTTCTCGTGAAGATGCAAGAGATGAAGTTTTGGTGAAGATGAAGCGCAGAGGAGGGGGAGCGGCGCTGCTGAACAAAAATTTTGAAGAATTTTTTGGAATGAATTTTTGAAATATTTTCGGTAAAACAAATTGTGTAAAGGAATTTTGAGTTAGGGGTAATGTAGTAAAATCATATGCTAAAATGGTTAAAAAAGATTTTTTCTACAAAAGGTGGCCAAAATTTATGTTTTGTAAACTTTTTTGGCTATTTAATGGTATTAACACAATATCATACACATTCCTATTCAAATTACCCTGGTTCTCGGGTGTGTAACACAACCCGGGTCAGGACGGCCCTACCCGATCCGCCCCGACCCAATTCCTAACCACGACGGATTAATTGGAGGATAGAGTCGATAGACCCAACCGAGAACCGACCTCTGACCCCAGAAAACCTCGAAAACACCACCGCCCTTTCTTCAATTTAAAATCCAAACAACAGATAAGCATGGTACGTGGCAGAAGTCCATTTCACGGGCAACTACGTGTCAACATTTAGCACGCCCAGCAAAACTTAATTCTTACACGTGTCACCCCACGCTCTTTGACGAACCGTCTTTATATACTCATCTCTCCTTCCGCCTATCCACACATAAAAAAGAATTCACAAAACAATTTTCTACAGTTCGCAATCGTACAGTTCCATCCAGTTTATATATCAGAAAATTAATTTTCCCAAAAGAAAAAAAACAATGGCGTCGACGCAAATCCCATCTAAGGAAGAGAGGGCTGAGGCCGCCGCCCGAGCCGCAGCCGACGAGCTCAGCCAGGCCAACCGTGAGAGGAGGGATCGAGAGACCGTGGTCGTCGAGGGCGCCGAGCCCCAGCCGGGCGTCATTGGCAGCATAATCCGCACCGTCCAGGGCGCCAAGGACGCCGTCATGGGCAAATCCCACGACGCCGCAGAATACACGGCGGAGAAATCCGGCGAGGCCAAGGACACTGCCGCTGGAAAGGCCGGTGAGTACGCCGGATACACGAAGGAGAAGGCGGCAGAGACAAAGGACACTGTCGCCGGGAAAGCCGGTGAGTACAAGGACTACGCCGCCCAGAAGGCAGCGGAGAAGGACACCGTCGCGGGAAAAGCCAGCGAGTACAAGGACACGGCTGCCCAGAAGGCAGCTGAGACGAAGGACACCGTCGCCGGAAAAGCCAGCGAGTACACGGACTATGCCGCCGAGAAGGCCAAGCAAGCCAAGGACACGGCTGCCCAGAAGGCAGCGGAGACGAAGGACACCGTCGCTGGAAAAGCCAGCGAGTATACAGACTATGCCGCCGAGAAGGCCAAGCAAGCCAAGGACTCGGCTGCTGAGAAGGCTAAGCAAACTAAGGACACGGCCGCCCAGAAGGCGGCGGAGACGAAGGACACTGTTGCCGGAAAAGCCAGCGAGTACACGGACTACGCGGCCGAGAAGGCCAAGCAAGCCAAGGACACGGCCGCCCAAAAGGCGGCGGAGACGAAGGACACCGTCGCCGGAAAAGCCAGCGAGTACAAAGACACGGCCGCTGAGAAGGCCAAGGAAGCCAAGGACACGGCCGCCGAGAAGGCCAAGCAAGCGAAGGACACGACTGTGGGGAAAACAGGGGAGTATAAGGACTACACGGCGGAGAAGGCGGCAGAGGGAAAGGATGTGGCAGTGGGGAAGATGGCGGAGCTAAAGGACACGGCAGCTGGGGCCGCCAAGCGGGCGGTGGAATTTCTGACAGGGAAGAAAGAGGAGACTAAGGAGACGATGGCGGAGAGTCGCGAGACGGCCAAGGAAAAGGCGGAGCCGGCGATGAAGAATGTAGAGCAAGCTGTGGAGGCCGCCAGGGTAATTGTTATTATTATTAGCCGACTTTGACGTCTTATTTTGATTAAATTTTGAAGGGTGTTTGTGTAATAAAATTGGGGGTAAAAGTGCAATTACATATTCCAGTAAACCGACTTTTTGCAATTATTTTTTCCAATTTGTAACATAGGAGAAGTACGAAGAGGCCAAAGAAGATGCAAGGAGGAAAATAGAGGAACTGAAAATGGAAGGTGAAAAATCAAAGGGCGATGCTGCTGGAAGGTAGTTGGTTATTTTTGTTTTTCCTTTTTTTTTTTCTATTTTTATTTGGTATTAATACATTATATTTTTGAGCAGGAGCTCCGGTGGACCCGGAGGAATACTCGGGGCCATAAAGGAGAAGCTGACCCCACATCCGACGGCCGGGACGAAGGAGGAGGAGGAGGGGCAGCATGGCAGTGAAGCCACGTACGGGCGGCGGAGGATGGCCGTGGACGAGTACGGGACGCCGGTGGTGGTGACGGTGGAGGAGGGGGAGGTGATGCCGGCAGAGGCGGTGGCCTCGGTGCTGAAGGAGGCGGATCAGGAGGCGGGCCAGACGTTCAACGATGTGGGCCCGATAGACGAAGAGGAGGGATCAGTGGTGGGGACACGCGTCCCGTCCGGGAAGATGTGATGTGATTGTGGGGGTGCTTGTTACGTGCTTTTGTAAGCTAGTGTTGGGTTGTTAATTTTTTTTTTTTTTTTTTACTGCGTGGTTAATTTTGGATCAGCTCTGTTGGCTACTTTGTTTATCTTTTGAATTGGGACGGGTGCGCTTTCTTTGTTACTCTGTGTTAAGTTGGAACATTGTGAACCTCTGTAAAAAAAGTATGTAAATAAAGTTGGAACATCCGTCTTTTTTTACTTCTCGACATAAATATGGTATGTAAGAGATATAGTCTGTAAGTAAACAAATTGAGTGTGATAGAGATGGTAAACAAGCGGTTTTGTTACGAAGCATATTAGTGTTTTTTAAGTAATTAAAGAATTTGACAAGTTTATTTGTCGTATATAGAAAGTTGGTTCTACTATGGTTAGCACAAAACCAAGCATATTAGTGTTTTTTAAGTAATTAAAGAATTTGACAAGTTTATTTGTCGTATATAGAAAGTTGGTTCTACTATGGTTAGGAGCTAACCGTTGGTTTAGCAAAATGGGTAAACAAGTGATTGAGATTTTAAGATTGTAAACATACAAGTGATTTTGAGATTGTAAACAATCAAGGGATTGATATTTTAAGATTGTAAACTAACAAGTGTGATCGTGATATTCAAATGTGATACCATCGAAAACGGGGTTCGATTATTCTGTTTATTCTCTCCATCCCGTTTTCCTATTCTCTCAATCCCGTTTTCGATAAAACCATCTCACAAATCATAAATTATATAACTCAGATATTACCAACTGTTGCCAACAGTACACACAAATTCACAGAGAGAGTGCATTGGCAGAAAAATGTAAAAACAAATATAAATATTTCATTTGATCAGCAGAACTTAATCAGAGATCCTTCAAATATTACAGAAAACAAAAATAATAATAATAATTGTGTCACTAAAGTTCAAACTATCATAAGAATTATGATAGTATCATGTAAATAATCTCTTCATTGCCAAAACAATAATTAGCATGTACCATCAAAGGCACTGTTTATAATCACCATGAGAAAGTAAGAGAAGTGAGAATCCATGATATTCGACATGCCCGAAGAAAAGCTTTACAGTAATTAAAACCAGATATGTCCATAAAAGTATAAGAAATCAGTACTCATGTCGAATACTATATAACTAACAGAGGAAAGAGTTTGGTAAAGGCACACATCTCATTGATCTTCTGCAAAGCATACAAGAAACAGAATTAGCTAACCCTACAAAAAAAAAAAGTTACACAGACAGAACATACCTACAGCAAAACCGATGCTTTTTCAGAAGTGTACAGCATAACACACAAAAAAAACACCAGTATTCACTTCAAAACCCCTCTCCCCCTACGCCCTTTCAGCTCGACTGGAATTATCGAAACAGAATCAACACATAGCCCACCTTTCGAATGAGTGCAGTCGATTTGTTTCATGGAGAATCTCACCTCGGTTTCACAATCCGATTGCCTCACGGTAAATTCACCCACCTTATAATCTATCCAGCAGCCACGCTTGTGACTCGTATAATAACTATTACTGTTACTATTATTACTACTACTGTCACCGTCATCTTGCTGTGGCTCGTCTAAAAGGCACTCGCTCGATGCTTGTTGGCCATCTGAAGTAGAGAATTCGAACCGCACGGGTTTGATGTCCCATCCATGAGTATGTTTGAAACTGGACACACGGCGCCCGAGCCTCCTGGAAAATCTACCTAGGTGAATCCTAAATGACAGTGTATACAAATCGGGCGGCAAGGGAAATTTTACAGTGCCATCAACTTCAAACCACCATATTTGTTGCAAATAGGCCACAACACTAAATCTGCAAGAATAAGAGCACACAGAAGCACAAAGGGTAAAAAAAAAACTTATAAAATACTAATAAAATGAGGGCGAACAACATAAAAGGTTCATAACCGATAATTGGGTATAATCATGTTAATGTATTTTAGGGGTCAAATGACAATACAGCATTCTATGTGCACGAATGCAAAGATGAGAACAAAAAGGGTTGTCACAAAAGTCATTTTATTTGTGTAACACAAGTAGCCCGTTCCTCTGTGTTTATGTTTTATTTTCCTTTACTGATGTACTCGTGGCCAATGACAAATTCAAACGTAAAAAATTATTGCCTATTTCACACAGCTTAGATAAAGATGCCATTTAGACTTCGGACAGCTTCAAGCAAGTTACTGGCCTGCTAAGTTGAACACTGCAGCAAAAAACACTGAAATTTACTTCTAATTGTGCTTATTTGCTCCACACCTAAAAGTAAATGAACCCGAAACAACGGCAGCAAAGACAAAGCTGACCTCATAATTCCAGGATAAAAAGGGATGAAAAGCTTTGCTTTATCTGGTGTTAAAGTAACATTGCGGAACCAAACAGAAAAACTTTAATTTATCTTCCTTTTACATTGTGAAACCCGAACAGAAACCATTGAACTTCACACGCTAAAGAGTAAAGCATAGGCATTCACAATAAGACTATGTTTGGTAGACAAATAAGCTAGCTTATAGCTTATTTAGTTAGCTTATAAGCTTTCTGTATTCAAATAAGCTTCGTTTGGTAGGACGAGCTTTTTTTTAAGAAGTTCGAGCTTATCTCATTAGCTTCTTTGGGTAAGCTCGTTGAAATTTTTATTCCAGCTAGCTTATCAGCTAATTTCACCAAACATTTTTTATCATATTAGCTAGCTTTTCAGCTATAAGTCATAAGCTATAAGCTAGCTTATCAGCTAGTTTTACCAAACATAGTGTAACTATATTAGGGAAGAAACAGCGTTTCTGCTAGGGAAGGGAGCAAGTCGGTAATTATTTCTAGGCAATAACTGTTCAACAGAGATGAAGTTCTGGCATATGAAAGCACCTCTAACTGATACATCCGTATTTAGAAACCCTGTGCACATGAATCTCCATCTAGTACTGCCAGAGAGTAGAGACTGCTCTATGCTACTCGCCATGAAATGTGCTGGCAGATGCTCCAACTAAGTGAATTGTCCGATTTATATTTTCTTAGGCACATCTTTAAAATTTCAGTGTCCTCTCGTTAAATTTATTATTTTATCCAAATGAACATTTTTAAACAAAGAATGCACAGATTAATCATATCTTTGCTGAAAAGACATAGAAAATTACTACTTCCAGCATTTGAGAAAGTTCAAAAGGCAGCCCAATCAACTGAGATAAAGAAAACAGTCGAAAAGGGCCATGACATAACAGCACCAGCTTAAGCCAGGGTTCTGTCAGGGCATAACTCGTGAGTATTTTGAAATAGTATTCAGAAATCTTGATTAAATTGAACAGCCAAGGTCTAAACGGCATTCAGCAAGAGTGTATACAAAAGTTGTGCTCAATTTCAGATTATGTTCAACTAATAATACATTAACACGATAATACGCCAGTCTAAAACCACCTCAAGTGTGTTGAAATCGTTCGGTGGATCAATATACATGCCGGGACGTAAAGTGCATCAGACACATAAGGCCAATACTAACCTAGATTCTTCTGTGGGGACCCAATTCCAATATCTCCTGTCCTCAATGCCCGTGATTGCCATTGCTTTAGCTGATACTGACATGCAAACTCTCCCTGTAAACTTGTCCACCCACACCACCTGCAATTGACCATGCTAAAAATGAAAAGTATGTCCACAAACAAGATAGTGAAAGTGCATACAGAACCCATTTCTTTTACCACTTGAATCTGCTTTTTCCATCTTGATATGCTTAAGTAATTGGTTTGTTTAGATCTTATGATCTTTTAACCTAATTCAATTCAGAAGGAACTGAAAAATCTGAAAGACATTATGAATAAATACTATTACCAAATCCAAAGCTGCATTAATACTACTACCGAATTCGACAAAAAATAACATATATACTACAAAAACCTCCTAAATTCCCAAATTTTATTCACAAATCAAGTGAAAAAAGACAATTAACAAAAAAAAAATCCGAGATCACTGAAATAAATCAAGCAGCCGCAGAAGATTCAAGTATAACCAAATTCCACAACAAACACAAAATTAGATTATGTAATCGCGAAGAATTGAAGGTTATAACAACGAATATTGAACAACATGATCACTGGCAAAGCAAACAGAGAAAAAAAAAATAGATAAAGGACAAAAACAATATATGAACAACACGTGCCTTGTTGCCGTCATCGAAGGGGAGGGGTCGAGATAGGATGGCAAATATGTCCTTTTTCCGGAGGCTCTGGTGGACGTCGGGGCGGGCCAGGAGGTCGAGGAGTTGAAGGTAATTGGGCGGAAGCTTTGTCTCCCAGACGGCGTCCGACGAGGCGGCCCCGCGGAAGGCGCGGTTGAGTCGGGCCAGGTTGCATATCTCCGGCGGAGAGAGGTAGAGGAACACGCAGGCCACGCAGCTCTCCGGTATGTCGCCTAGGCCCGGCCCGCCGTTGCTCGGCCCGTTTTCGGTCAAATTCGATAACGATGCGCCCATATACGCGTGCGCGTGAGTTACCGAGTATCAACTGCTGTGTCCCGGCGCCTTTGACTGGTCGATAATTTCCCGGCGGCGGAGGCGGTGGCGGAGTTGTGAGTGGATGCGGAGGGAAAGAGGACTTCGTTTTCCGACTTGTGCTCTAGTGCTCGTCCATTACTTTATATGGGTCTGTCAACGAGCTAGCAAATCAAGTTTTAAATATAAAAAAATTAGTTAAAAATTACTATAAAAAGTTTGATTTAAATACAAATGTAAAAATTTTCCTAAGTTACGTATCAAGTGATCCGACCGTTGATCTATGGTGAATTAATAATTCATATAGATTATACGGCGGTAGAAATGAAATTTAAGTATTTAAATTTTGGATTGTGCAATCTTATGTGTCGAATTCTTGTAATCCTATTTATCAAGTTCATGTAATTGAGTTGTGCAATCTTATATATCGAATTCGTGTAATCCTATTTATCAAGTTCATCATGCAATCATATATGTCGGATTTGTGCAATCCTACTTGCTATGTGTCGATTTCGGGTTCATCGAATCCTATGTGACAAGTTTGTGTAATCATACTTGTTATGTATCGATTCTGGCTAGTTCAATCTTGTTTATCGATTATGTGCAATTCTATGTATCAAATTTGTGCAATCATTCTTGCTACGGGTCGAATTTTGGCGCATACAATCATTGGTTTCGATTTCAGTGAAAGAAAAGTTGGTTTTGTGCCAATTTTGTGGTTTTATATTTTCGTAAATAGAAAGTTAGAAAAGTTGGTTTTGTGCCAATTTTGTGGTTTTATATTTTCGTAAATAGAAAGTTTTGAATAAAATATCAAAACGTTTTAAGTTGAACAAAAAATAATTTCTACAGTTAAAAGTGTGAATATTATAGTTTATGTAACTAAAAAATGAGGTTAATGGGGTGATTGGATATAATTTTGAATTTCATTAGATTTATTGGATAAAGTGAATTATTTAGAAAAACGTTGATCAGATGAGATTTTGAGTGTGTATTTTAATAATATTTAAAATGTAATGATAAAAGTTGATGTGATGTAAAAATATGAGAGATGTAATTGTAATATGTGAGTTGTTAAATAGTGAACTAAAGTCTAGGAGAATGATTAGTTGTAATTATTTAATTCTATTGATAATATTGAGGAGAGTTAAGTTGGATAAAATTGAGTTAAATATAAAAAGTTTATCCAGTTAATCAAAATCAAATAATTTTAGTAGCTTACCTAACTCAAATATTGTTGGATTCACAATGTTTTATGTTTGACGAATGTTTGAAGAAGTCAAATGAGTTATAATCATGCATTAAGCATGCAAGAACTATAGAGGGTTTTGTCGGGGATGAGAAGGAAAAAAAACCAAACACCAATTTGAGTATACATGAATGTGTCCCAGTCAGTGAGCGGGCGCAACGAGCACACAACCCAAAAACATAAGATAGTTCATATAGTGAGTGACATTTAACATAACAATACGAAGTTGAAATAGAACATAAGATAGTTCATACTTATTTTGTTTGCTATCTCGTAGTCATTATTCGTATTTCATCTACAGAGAGTTCAAAATGCAAGTAAAGTCGCTGAAATCTTGTATTTTGAAGTGGCACTAAACTTTCGATAAAAATTGTTATATTTTGAGACGTGTGCCGAAAAATGTGGGCATTAATCGGTGACAATCTCGTCTCGCGGAGAGCATTTTTACGTGTCTCGATTGACTATTTGATTTAATTCTTCGTTCGAATTTTTTCAAGCACCATTTTTCGTGGTTTGATCGAGCAGTTTGCTATCATTCTCTCTTCATAATATCTTTATTCATTCTCGAAAAACAAGTATAAACACACATATCCAACAAATGTAATCCTACCTATTAGTTGTAGCACTAGAAGAATTGTACATAGTAAAATTTGTGTACGTACAAAAGTAGGCTTTGGGCTCCTTTAATAAATTAATAAAACCTAATTAAAAAAGAAAAAAATCGGCAAAGTTATTTTATGAGACGGCAGTGCTCTCGCGGTCACCGACCTATTTTTGAATTAGGAGTTTTTGTCCATGGTTTTGAGATTCGATAAAATAATAATAATAATAATAATAATAATAATAATAATAATAATAATAATTAGAAATGCTACGGTACCATTACGAAATTATTCCGTCGGGTTTGTAACCGTTAGATCATCATGTAATCATCGGAGATAGTTGATCCAAGGTTACAAATTCTGACGAAATAGTTCCTTAACGAGAGTACCGCAGCATCTCCCAATAATAATAATAATAATAATAATAATAGTAAAAATAGTAATAATAATAATAATAATAATAATAATAA